TCAATTGTGATGATCATGAGTCGGGTCCGGTTTTACAAGTAGTTAATAGCCTTAGGGCCTACCTAGGCCTGATAATACATGCCCGAGTTTGGTCCTGGGAAAGTTAGCCCATATGAATATACAAGATTTGTATTTTAAAACAAATAAAGTATTGATTGAACTTTATAATCAAATGACAAAAAATAAGCTTCAAAAAATTGTAGAAAATATATTTGAAAATTTATTATGTATATTAACATATTATACCGTATATACATATATGCCATATATGAAGATACTATACAAATAAATAAGACATTATACCAATATTATAGTATATATTCTAAATATACATACAACTTTTGGGATAGGTTGGGTTTGGACATAGGGCTTTCATGGCCCGAGACCAACGTGTGCGGGCTTGAAGCAGGTCCAATCTCGACAAGGCTTGAGAGAAATTTGACTGCCTTGGCTCAAGAATTTGCAAGCTAAAAGGGTCAGGCTGGTCGGGTTAGGCCGATCATAAATGATCACCCCTACCCATCAACATCCTTAATCCCACATTTGTAAAGCTAAGCACATCCCTAAAATTAGTGTGAATAGTGCTGATTCATAAAAACAAATAAGAATTGAAATGGGTCATTGTAATGTATCCTATATAGAAAATGGATGATTTTTTTGAAAGCTATGAAAATGGGTGATTAAAACAATTCTACAAGTGTGCACATCATTTCTCAATTTGGCACAGTTACTTATATCTTTTTTGGCCCTTTGAGAAGATAGAAGACAAATTAAACTATAACTAAGATGTGGTTGCTTATATCTTTTTTGGCCCTTTGAGAGGGTGGAAGACCAATTAAACTATAACTAAGATGTGATCATTCGATGTTAAATTGACATTAATCAAATGCTTAGCACTACTAACTAAAAGGGGTAAATTTATATTTGGTAATTGCTATCACCTCCCCTAAACTTTTTAAAACAATTGCAAGTAGGTCCCCTCTATTAGAATCCTCTAACAAGAGGCATGAAAATGCCAAAAATACCCATGAAGTTACTTTGGACAAAATGTTTATTATTCAAATTTTCTCTTCATATCAATTGCTATCCCAAATCCTTAATTCCAATCTCTTCAGGTAAAGCTGCAACTTTTTTTTGTTGATAAAGTTTGTAATTTTTTTGTAGAAATCATCTTCAATTGTAACTGCATGGGTATTTTGAACATTTTTTTTGTCTGCTATTAGAAGATTCTAACATGGGGTCTACTTACAACTACATCAAAAAGTTCACGGGAAGTGATTACAATTACCAAATTTCAGGGGAGATTTTAGCAATTTACCTTAAATAAAAAACTCATTGTTCATTCAATGCGACAATCAATTAATTGAGAGCACTTGGATTTCAATGACAATTTAGAACAATTGTACATGAAATAGGAAGACACATGCAAAATATCATTTACTAATAATGATAGAAGAGTGAAATATTAAATATACTTTATTCTTTGGACACTTTCAATTACCATTCATGTTGAGAAATTGTAGTCATTAACTTCACCCTTTAAATAGTTTTTATCAAGCACATTATAAAATACTTGCTTTCTTCTTGTTTATACTTTAGATAATGTCAAATATAAAAGTGACCAACCAATTCCATTACCCACTTAATATTCAATACAAGTGGAGCAATTATGGTCTTTAATTCTAGTTTTTAAATATGTTTTACTAAACATGTGAAAAGTAATTATAGTCTTTAATTTCAGTCTTTAAATATGTTTTATTAAACACGTTAAATRCTTGTTTTCCCTTATACTACAGAAGCAATTATGGTCTTTAATTTTAGTCTTTTAACATGTTTTATTAAACATGTGAAGAGTAATTACAATCTTTAATTTCAGTCCTGAAATATGTTTTATTAAACACGTGAAATACTTGGTTTGCCCTTATTTATATTTTAGAAAATATTAAAAAAAGGGCATATTTTTGTCCAACCAAAATTCCAGAAATATTAAATAAGCATTCTTACATTTTATAATAGTATAGATTTTTCTTCACACTAGTTGGTTCCTCATTTGCATCATCCACACAGAAGAAAATGAAGGTTAATTTTAATTGTTATCTCATTATCCCCTACTTAGATTTAGGGTACTACATTTAACCCCTTCTTGAGCTAGGTTCACTATAAGAAAATTGGCTTTTGGTGATGTCCATCACTATAAATTTAATATTTAGTGACTAAAAGTTGATAGAAGGATTTTTCGTCACTATAAATAACCTATAGCAATAGATAGTTCGAATTCCATCACAAAATCTTGATATATAGTGACAAACAACCAAATGTTCGTCACAAAATTATAAAGTCTTGATATATAGTAACGGATGTATGACATCAGTCACAAAATTTTGTTTTATAGTGACAAACAATAAAACCTTCACCATAGAAAATCTAATTTATAGTGATGGACAAATTAATGTTTGTCACCAAATCACAAAATTGTGATATATAGTTACGGATTCTTTTATTGTGACAAACAATTAAATCATCGTCACAAAAAATATGATTTATAGTGACATGTTTGTCACAAAATCACAAAATCGTGATATATAGTGATGGACAATTAAGCATTTATCACAAACATTTATGGTAACAAACAATTGGATCTTTGTCACAAAATGTTGATTCATAGTGAAGGACAATTAAATGTGTGTCATAAAGATAAAATCACAAGATCTTCATTAAGGGCATTTTTTGTAAGCATTGTTTAAATGTTATAAGTTTAAAATAACCCAATAAATTGGTCATTTGAATTGTTGAATTGATATATTCGAATAATGGGTTATAGGTTATATATTTAGACATTTGAAAATAATACTTTAGTGAAATTCGATTTAAATCCTAACTAGGGATGATCCTAGATTGATTTTTTATAGACCAATAGACTTTAGTGCTACTTAGGCTCAATGGATCCTTATGATGCTCGAACTGCTCCAGTTCCTTGCTACCTGACAGTTCGGATGCATGACAGATGAGGTTGGTAGGTCAAATCTACAAGAAAAGGAAGATCAGAGGTACTGAAGGGATTGACCTGGATTAGGCACTCTGATGATTAATTTAGTTGAGTTGGTAATTAGAAAGTAAAAGCTAGAGATGACAAGGAATCAAAGAGAGTGTTTTCGTAGTATTACGTAGACCTTGTGAGCGAATGGAACTGCCATCATATAGACATCAAGGCCCTGAGTGGTGTGACCACCATATTCGAAAGCGATCAAACATATCTTCCCAAGGATTATGGAGCATGTTTCCCACTATGGCAATAAGCCTCATTCAGTTCCTTGCAAAGTGGACGGAGCCGAGGCTTAACGTTACTAGGTGAGCAACATGCCGCTAAGTGTTAGACAATGTATGCCCTTAGCTCTAATTAGCATGATGTACATTATGACATTTATTGTAAATGAATAAAATACATATTTGATTCATGTTATTATGGTGTGTTTTTGTGTAATACCCTTAAACTGTACACATATGAGACTCGTGTTAGTTTAGAATCTTCACAACCGTTGGATAGATAAAGGGAGATTTATCCTGTCAAAGCTGACACTGATGTACCACCAAGTTGGTTGGGGTGATTTGTCTCAACTGTCAGGATGAGACCTGAGGTACTTGCAGTGTGGGTTTTCTTGAAACCCTAAACCGGACCAAAATTCCAGTATTGCCTTAGACTTTGGATATATATAGGCAAAACTGAAATGTTACACCTGACCCATAGACTCGATTATGATACTGCACTAAGTGTCGGATTGGGTTGTCTTTGATATGTCAATCAGTGAGATCCTTAGAAGGGGTCAAAACCTGGATATGTTGTTATAGTCCGAGAATTCATTTGAGTGGGTGATCATAGTGACAGGATCAACCCATTTGTCGGACAAAGTGAATGATCGAGGATGCACTACCTGATGAAAACCTTGAAAACCTAAACTGTCGGTAATTGATTTCAACCGTTGAAATTTATTTTGCAAAATATATTTATATAGATATATATATATATATATATATATATTATGGCTTCAAAATGTTTTAATTTCTGGTATCCATGTGAATAGAGAGTATAACACAACACTTTATAACCGAGGAAGATGTCATCTTTTGTCGGGCAGTGTTTTATCATTATGAAATGAGAGGTTAAGTGTAAGACCATTGAGAATTATACCTGATGGGCTAATGAAGATCAATTAGCATGTATGAGTTGATCTTCAACCAATGAACATGAAAACAAAGTCTAAACCCTCCAGTCTGAACTGCCAAAGCCTCTACGTCTTCATATCAAGGACCCAATCATTACAAAAGAGAGATCTAGGTCACAAAAATAAGGAAGAAATATGTTTTGGTTTGGCCCATCTGTACCAGGCCTACAAGGAATCAAATAAATAGGAGAAAGAAGATGGTAGAGTAGAAAGATTGGCTGATCAAATCTATGATAGATTATGCTCTGATATCATGTTTTCATCATGGGTCAAGATCAATGAGTGAAGGGGGAGGAGAGAAGAAGAAAAAGAAACCGAGATTTGGAGGTGGAGTCAGGGTAGCATGTGGTGATTTGGATGCTTCTTTTATGCCAAAACTTAGATCTTCTAAATCATCCAATCTAGCTATTACTGATGACTATAATCATTCAGAAAGGGCAAAATTGGCTTAAGAGATACTTAGTTGGACAATATAAAGGACAAATGCAAGATAAAACACAGATGCATAGCACGTATAGGTAGTAAAGAGGATACCTTGCCTCCATCACATTCTGATACTATCTCTAGTTACTAAAGTGTACCATGTTCATATCTAAACCAATGAAATATTCTGATCAAAATGATTAATACCGAGTCCCATGTATCTCCTTATCCTGAAAGGGTCATCAGCACAGAAAATTCATATACATAATTATCAACACCGAAGATAGGATACAACAATGACAAGCTTTTGAGCTTTGATGCCGACATTTATGGACATCTTTTTGAGTTCCCAKAAAATATTGGAAGAGTTTGGGAGTTTGGGTAGCCATGGTAAATTGGTAATAAGACAATACTATTACCACTTTTAGAAGTATTCTGAAAAATGAAACTTTGGTTATGCCTTACATGTAAACAAACAAAATATGGAAATAGTTCCTATATCCTACACTGAAGTAACTGGATAGGATAGGTCTCATTCCCATTTAATTCTTTCATCAATCACATGTGACTAAGAAGACCAAGAAAATTTTCGTTCACATCTAATTAGTCCATCATGTGTGACCAAGAAGACCAAAAAAGAGTAAAAAATAAAACAATGTTGAGTGCTTGGAGAAACAGAAAAAGTAACTACCAAGTTTCAGAATTGAAGACCATGTTCCCTCGCAGCATTAGCAAGGGCTTCAACACGCCCATGGTAAGGGTAACCACCCCGGTCAAATGCTACCTTTTTGATTCCTTTCTCCAAACAGTTCTTAGCAATGATTTCACCAATCCTCTTTGCCACTTCCTGGTCAAAACAATTGTTAAAAAAAAAAAAAAAAAAGCTTTGCAGTCATACTCATCCATATTCAAAACACCAAGAAAGAGTGTTTCTACAAAGAAAATAAAATCCTAAAAATTTTTCCATACAAAAATATGACAGAAAACTTTCCGAAGAAATGCAGCTAACTGGTAAATTACAGCATACATCTATCAATGGTATTAAGGCACCAATGAAGGAAAAACACAATTAACATCAAATAGAATAACATTTCTAGTATACCCTATAGATATGAAAATCCAACAATCATGAATAAATTAAACAAAACCAACTAACCAAATTATTCAGATATTGCTTGCCTAGCCCATGGTTATTTGCGAATTTATTACCCTTACAATCAATGTTTGTCAGATCAAGACTGGCCTTGTTGAACCATGACCAAGTAATTAGGGATGTTAATGGACTGGATTTGTACAAGTTATGCTAACTTGAACCAAATTGATCTAAGGACCCACTCTGCCCCATTAATAGAGCAAAGAAGGGTGGTCAAGGCCCAAAGCTGAGCAAGATGAAATACTCTGCCCCATTAAGCAACTCAAAGCCTTCTTAGCATCAGAATTTCAAAATCAAATCTTTGGGAGATTTTAGATATTTTTTGGGTATTGAGGTGGCAAAGTCCAAGAAGGGTACATTTATTTCCTAGAGAAATATACTCTTGATTTTCTTGAAAAATCAGGGAAAATGGGTGTTGAGCCTTCAAATACTCCAAATGATCCTAATCACCATCACAAGTGTTTTATAGTCTAATATTTTCTACTATGGTATCATCGATAACTGGGTTAACCAGATGATTGGTCCTTTGACCCATAACCTGTGATGCCTAAATATAAGTAGAAATACAGGTAAGGATACAAGAAATGTGGATATGACTACTTTTCCTAAAATCCCAGACATGGATAGGGGTAAGGGTATTTCACTTAACCTGATTATATCATGCTTTCAAATGCAACTTTTGAAGATAGCTGTCATTTCTCAATACTTGTATCTTGACAAATCCAATTAAACCTCTAACATGAACAAATCTTTAACAGTATATTTTGTACAAAACTGCAAACATAACATTTTGCATATATAAAAAGTATTGATGCTATAAAGTGTACTCTAGAAGTGTCCATAGACTCCATACATTATCTAGAGCAATATTAGGCATGTATCAAATCTAACACAGGTATGCCAAGAACAGTCATGGTTTAAAATATCAATAAATTTCTTAATATTTCCATGACACATTTTCTTCTCCATAGACGAAATATTACTAGAATTAACATACTCCCTAATGAAAACTATTGGTACTATGTAGAGTAAATAAGATAGTATTATAAAATGATTCATTGGCAAGAATATCATAGATATGTGGAGTAGCAGTGTTATAGAACACCTATTGGCATGATGACCAACTTGAACCAGCATAAAATCCTCTGTGGATGTGATATTAAATATTAGTTTTGTTTGTATAATAGATTATTTGGTTAACCTATTAGAAAATTGGTACTTTCTGTGATTTTAAATTTTGCTTGGACTATTTTTTATAATAGAAAATAGTTTTTGCTTGACTTACCTCATCATGTAATTTTAACTCTTATTCTCATAGAGCTTACAGGACAACCTTGCAGTGTATCATTTTGCCTATTAGCTTTTATCCTTGGCTTTATTTGACAGTTTCTAACAAGATAATAATTTAAAAGGGTGTACCTATGCTTTTTTATTATTTCATCAAATATCATTATAGCTTTCCACATATTTTACAGTATATTTTTACAATATTTCTGACATTTCCAACATGTTTCCTATATTTGGATGACAGGTATTACCACTGACACTGATATTTTAAACTTTGAGCATTGGTATCCAGGTATCTGTGACAAATTGTCCTTTATGCATTGATGAGCAATTCAGCTCTAACAACATTTCTTACAATGATTTTCCTTTCAAAAGTTTGTGAGCTTACAACTGTAGGTCCAGAAGAATAATCAAATTCTTCAGATATGGGTTTCTGCATTGTTGAAGCTGAAGCAAGGGTGTGCATCTTAGTGTCATCGATCACCTGGACATAGATATGCTTGTTGGAGCGAAAGACAGACAACCTTGGCCTTTCTGGTGTCCCTTCAACCTGTGAAAACAAGAAAAGACAGTTGCATCATGAATTATACAGATCAAAGAAAATGCCAATCAGTTTTTTTTTTCCTTTCCCAAAAATACCAATCAGTTAATGATAAAAAATAATATGAAAAAAGAATTACTTAAAAATACAGATACTACAACCCAATCTATGTTTGTATAAGCTTCCACTTCTAGATTACCGTGCTTTTTAAACAACAACCCAGCCCTTGAAGTATGATACTTTAGGGAAATGCATAAACTGGCTCAAGACCCCCACGGCATAGGCAACATCAAGACGTGTCATTGATGAGTACAACAGTATTCCCACCAACCTTTGTAACTGTTTAACATCCTTCAAAGTTTCACCATCACAATCACCCAATCTGTGATTCACATCAATAGGGGTATCAATTGGTTTTGCACCTAGCTTGCTTCTGTCCTACAAGAGATCTAGGATACATTTCCTTTGAGACATGAAGATACCCTTTTGAGAACGGGCAACCTCGATATACCATAGGAGTCCTAGATCCTTTACTTCAAATTGGGTAACCAAAAACTCCTTCAAATTCTGTATCTTATAGCTCCAGTCACCTATGATGATAATGTCATCTACATTAACAATCAACACTACAACCTTTCCTTGACCTCTCTTGATAAAGAGGGTATGATCAGACTGGCATTTCCTGAACTGCCATATGGAACCTATTAAACCAGTCTCTAGGGGATTGTTTCAACCCATACCGATATTTATTCAGTCTACATACCTTGTCCTCACTAGCTTTGGCACGAAAGCCAGGTGGCTGAACCATATACACTTATTCCTCCAGGTCACCATTTAGGAAAGCATTTTTTAATGTCAAGCTAATGCAACTCCCAATAAAAGTTAGCAACTAAAGATAGAAGAATACGAATAGAGTTCATCTCTGCTACTGGGGCAAAGGTCTTCACATAATCAAAGCCATATACCTGAGTGTAGCCTTTTTCCACCAACCTCGCCTTATACCTTTCTATTGTCCCACCCACCTTATGCTTCACTAAGAGCAACCATTTACACCCTACTGGATCTTTCCCCTTTGGAAGATCCACCAACTCCTAAGTATTATTCCTATGGAGGGCACTAATTTCCTCTTCATAGAATTTGTCCATTCACGGTATGTCAAGGCCTTTGCAACACTTTTGGGGATGGGGATACTATCAATGGCAGACAAAAAGGCAAAGTAAGAAGGAAAAACATGATCATAGATACATAGTGGGTAATGGGTTGTTTAGTACTACATGACTGGACACCCTTTCCATGAGCAATGGGGATATCAAGATCATCCACATGGTCATCAACAAAAATAGGAACACAAGAGTCAATAGAAATAAGAGTGCCTGGTTGTGGACTTACCTCCTAGGAGTTTGATGGTGTTAGTTGCACAGTATCTAGGAGCTCCACATCCTTAGAACTCTAATGATCTCTACGGTGCTTACGTAGAAAAACACGGAAAGGTGCAGGGTCCAAGATTTAAGGAAGATGAATCGATTGAACTTGATTCTCCTCTACACAACTCTCCCCCTAAGAAGCAAGATAAAAATGCTCAAACTCGAAACCCAATCCTGCCCAAGATGCACCCCTAACCCAAATAGCCCTGATATCTTCAATTCTTTCCTCTTAAGCAAGGAGAAACATTATTCTTCGAAAAGGAAATTTTGATTTTATATAATATTCTAACCATTATTGAATTCCAAGTCTCCTCCTTCCCTTTTCTTGAAGTAAGTATCCCACTTACAATAGAGTTACACTTCTTCTCAGCAATGGCCTTTTTTATGGTTAACTGATAGTTCTATTAGAACGTTTTACAGTGACAGTACACCCAATTCAGTTGTTGACCTCAATTAGTGCTACCAAAATGCAAAATACAAGTAGCAAAAAAGTGTTACAATTACATCACTTGATCCAATACAAACTGTCCCTTGGGGCCCCTTGTTTTGCCAAACCATCAGCCAACCCATTTGCTGATCTTGGAATCCACAAAATACTTGCTCTCAGCTCACAAATAATGTTTTCTTATCTCTCTTACGGTATATCTATACTTCCAAGGAGGCTCTCGGTTTTCCCTTATCCATCCAATTACCACTTTATAGTCCCCTTCAATAGATATGTTTCTTTTGGAGATCATTACTGATAGGAGGCTATTTATGTCAGGCATTTTCCCCTCCAATTGTAGGTTGGGTTATCCCATTTACATGAAAAGGAATTAATTACCCATGATCCAAGACTTCCTTAGTTGTAGGTGATGATTCTTAGAAATATAAACCATTTCCTTTTTGAAGAACCTGTTGTGGATCCTAAAAAGGATGGAAACTATATGAAAGGAGTGGATTACTTCAAGGATCATTACAATTACAGAATTACTAAACTAGGATCTAAAGTTTAGGAACTTACCATACTTGTAAGTTAATAGATGACCATTTCATCTATCCATGGATCTTTTATGGTTTTTTAAATGACAGAATTTTACATGGAAATTCTCAGATGATCAAATAGCAAGGATACTTAATAGGCTTCCAGATCATGAGAACAAAAGGCCATTGCCAACAAATTTATGGTAGGATCTTATGAATGAAGAAGGTAACTCATGAATTCATCGATCTGTATTTGATAACTGCAACTTATAATTCCAATATACATAGAATTTCAACCTGCCACTGAATGAACCCTATCTCATAAGATAGCCTATGAATTATTGGATCAAGCTCTGAGCTTAAAGAACTTTTGCACTTCTGTTTTTGTTAAAGTTGTTTTCTCACTATTTTATCTATTAAATATACTGAAATATTGACTCAGTCATGTAATTTCAATTCACAACGTGAGTGGAATAGTGGAAGTTTGTGGATCTACATTTCAATATATGCTTATTTGCCATGCAGCTCAGCACTAACCTGAAACAGTTAGCCAGGCTTCTAGCTTGACCACCTAATTCTCCCTTGTTAAGAAAATGGTGACTTATTGATAACAAGTTAACTTTCTTTAGACAATTTTTTGTTTTCTTTCACTTATTTTCATTCTATAGGAGCTGCTAAGACTACTTGCTCTGTCTGAGCCTTGATTTTATTTTATTTTCTTCTAAATCTGTAGGGAAAAAATATATATACACCATTCCCAACTTCCAATTCCATTTGGTAGATTTAGCCCACTTGATCTTGAAAAAGAAAAGACCAATTTCCCATCCCATATCTGAGTTGTTTTTTTCTTTTGTAATAAAATAAAATTTATTAAAAGGAAAAAAGAAATTACAGAGGAGAGTGAACAGAAGTCACTTGAGAGAGAGAGAGAAAGAAACACAAGACTTCAAGCTCCACACAGGCACTCCAAGCCAACCTAGCATCATAAAAACCATCAAAAACCAGAAAAACACAAATCTTTGCAATACAAACCCTATAGCAACAAAAGACCCCAAAAAATAGCCCAATCAACAAAACTCAAAAACAAAGCCGACAAAGACATAACCACAACAAACCCCACTCGCAAACATCTTACTTGACAACAACAAAACCACAAAACATCCTCAAATGCAACAGCCTTTGATTCGCTAAAACACTAAAATCTTCTTGAGGCTTTCTTTATCTTCAACACCTTGTTTGGTCTAATCCCAAAAGGACTCCCTTTTAGTCTAGAGAAAGCATTTGAAACCAAGACATCTCTATGTTTTCTTTGTTGTTTAAGTCTTCTATTTGTTGCACCAAACTGCCTGGATTCCAATGCACACGAAGGATTCTCATTAATCCTTTCCAGTTCCAGAACAGTATTCTCAAAAAATTGGGCATTAACCATTACTGTAGATTTTTCATTACCTTCTTCTAGTCTAATTGTACTCAAGTCATTATAACTCTCATCAGCCAAAGGTGGATGCACTTGAGAATCTCCCACATTCTCCCTTACAGGCATATCGTAGCATTCCTCAAGTTCTTGAAACAACTTCCTCGAAAAGGGTTCACCTCCCAACACAAGCAAACCCATCGCTTTAGCTACCTCTGTTGCCGCATTAACCAAGTTGTTCAAGTCAAAGGCCTTGTCAATACAGTGCGATTCATCAATAAGAACTTCCTCCTCAGATGACTCACTTAAACTCTCAGTTCATCAGAAGAACCATCACCTTTCCTAGGTTTTTTCTTCCTCTATTAAAGGTTCTGTTTGATAAGATCTCTTCCTTAAATGCACCTTAGAAGAAGAGTCAGCCAACAAATTCCCTTTATTTCTTCTCCTTTCTTTATCTCCACCCCCTTCTATAGGTTTAGAATCAAACATAAAAAGGTGGAGCCCCTCTTCTAATTTTTCCTCTGTCCTTTCTGAGCTTGAAAAGTGGAGCCCCTCTTCTTTTCTTCCCTGACCACCTTCAGGACTGAAAACTATGAGCCAACTTCTTTCGCTGTTTAATCTTGAAACTATTCCCCTTATCAAACTCAGAAAACAAAGATGAATCACTGAAGCCTGCCTCCATCGTAGAGCACTTGTACTCTGAGGTACAATGGCTGAAGGAAATGTCATCAATAAGTTCTTTCTCCACCCCTAAAAATAAAATCGAAACTTCCTCAAACTTCTTCTTAACTTGTGATAAAGCACTTGTAATCACCTTTTCCGAATACCTTTGTTGTCTTCCCTTGAAATCTTCTCAATCTTCCTTCAGTAGCCTTTGTGGATTCTAATACTTTACTTTTTTTTTATTCTTTTGATAAAAACAAGAAAATGAGCTAAACACAGCGGGGGGTAGCACTTCCCCAAATGCCATCACAAGATATAGCCTTTAAGGAATTGGGCAACGAAGGATAAGATACATGATTGAAATGAGCACAGTTTGCAAGCCAATCAGCAACACAGTTCCCTTCCTGATAGGTGTGATCATACTCGACATCGCCGTCCATCCTCTTGATCAAAGACCTGCAACCTTCGATGATCATTCTAAAACTTTAACTCGAAGAGTTCCTATTTAATAAAGGAAGAAGATTGGACCCTTATAGGGCCGAACC